TTGATCTTAGTTTGTTGGAAAAATACTTTTTTCTAAGTTAATACCTAGATATTTATATTACAGCTAATAATTGGCACATTGTGTTATTAACAGTGCATCATAATACATAAATATAGGACCGACTTTTAGATATTTGTATTTATATGAGATATATTTTGTAATTTTGCAAAGAATTTCGTGTGATAACACGTGGGAATTACCATATTAAACCTATATATCAATTGATTAGATTATTCGAAGCTTCAGAGCGGCGGTTAATAGGCACATAATCTCTATTACTGTACAGATATCCAGCTGTAATATTATGCAATTTGAAATTTATTACACGCATAATTCAGTTAAATTTAGTGACTTTAGAAAGCTTTCTCACACAGTGTTAAGCCTTACCAAATAAAAAGGAAACAAGACGTAACAAATACCTCTCATTGTGTTATTATACAGAAAATCAGCTCGTGATATATGAGATGAGTGAATAGTTGATCTTTCCACATTACTCATGCCTCCATTGCAATCGATACTATAGGAACAAGCTCTATGGCCCGCCTAATGCTAGAATACCAGATTTCTCAGCCTCAGTCCGCATGGACATAAGAGGTCTCACGAAACATAACTGTTTGGTTGGTCTCTCTGCTTAAATATGCTGGATTTCGGTTTACATAAAGTGAGTTATATAAAAACGACCCCCCCCCCCCCTCAGCTAGTTGAATTATCAGTTGTTTCCGTGTCTGTTCGTTATGTGTAATTATCTAAAAGTAAGGTATGTATAATTTCCCTTATAAAGTGTCCGTGGAAGTTCATATATATATATATGAAGACATAGTGCTAAGAAACTAACAAAAATAAATATTTTCTTCAAGAACAATAGGACGTTATGAATACTCTTTCATTGGTTGACAGAAGACATGCAACATAAAACAGACTTAAGAGGAGAGTGAATAACTTTGGGTGAAAATCATCATGTTATACAAAATGTATATAAGTAATAATTATAAAATAACACGTAAAATATATGCAAAAACAATGTCTAGGAGAACACAACTCAACATGGATACTCAACATAAATATATACAAGTAAAGAAAAAAACTTTTCACAAAAGGAAGTAAATGTAGGGATGGCTAATATCAATCTTTTAAAGACAATGCAAACAATATAGTCGGGACGGCATTTGCATCATCCCTACATTATAGCACAGGCAAGAATTAACATATAGCAATATATTTATAACTATTCAATCACGATTGAGTTTAATTTATCCTATTTTGTCTTTTAAGATTCTACTACACTGTGTGCCTGTGCTATTATTTAGGGATGATGCAAATCCCATCCCTACTATCTTCTTCGCATTGTTTTTGAAGGATTGATTTTGGCCATCTCTACATTTACTTACTTTTTTAAAGTTCTTTTATTTTGATGTTTTTTAAAGCAGTGTTTCAATAGACATAGGAAGACTGTATTTATAACCAAGTTATAAATATAATGGGGTTCCAACTGTAATATTTATTGTTTATCTATTATTGGTTGGTAATTCCTGTTTCACCTGTACTTAAGCTTTTAAAGGAACACCAAGTCTACGTAAAAAAGCTAGCTTCAAGGGGGAATGATAACATCGTTTACACTAAAATTTTGATTTTCTTTAAAAATTACTACTAGTTAATAATACTTATAAAAGCGGATACTGCGTTTGAAACTATGTCACCTGAGTGAAATTGGTTAACACCATTGTTTTGGTTCTTGAGTTATCATGTAATAAAAAAGAAGCAGAAGAAAGAAGAACAAGAAATTTAAACTTTTTGCTATATTTACAAACATTCCCAGAACTTGTGACTCAGTCATTACATAGATATTGTTATAAAAGGAACACTGTATAGTATTGTAAAGTTCAGATGAACTACTGAGGAGATATTTAAAACACCATTTCGATGAACAATCCGAGCCACCCCTACATAGACAATGCTACCGTCCGCCTGATATATATATATATATATATATATATACTTAGTTGGTTTTACGTACACCATAATTTTTTGCTTTAAACCATGTAAACAAAATATTATTGTTTAAAACTTTGGCAGTTCATTGACCACATGCATATTTTGATACTCCAAATTAAATGCGTTTGGACACGTTTGGTCATAGGAAGAACTTATTTTAAAATGTCTGTATTTGGGAGGAAATATTTGCCACTTACAATACAAGTACGGTACATTTATTTCTTTTTAATAATTCCAAACTATTTTCCACATAAAGCTCGAAATTTGTAGATTAATTTTCCTAGAGTTACGGATAAAAGATTTAAGTGTAATTCATATTGTTGAAGATATTTAGTTGTGGCTCTTCTGTTGAAGACAGACTTGATTATTAAAAAAATTGAAAGTGCCTAAGGTTAAAAGCCTTCTGGTGTAATTCTTTTAAGTTTCTTGTCGCATTTGCTCTACACCCACTTACACCACGCATATGTGTGTATGAGTGTTAACAGCACAATACATTAACTTGTTCAAATGGCTTCCTTAAGATCACTTGAAATATAAATGAATTTTGAGAGAATAATTTTGTGCTGAGTTTCATGCCATATATATATATATATATATATATGTATGTCATAACGAATAATAAAAAATAAACTTTGTTGCTATTAAAACCTACGTTGCATATTTTGACTATTTTTTGTAGAAGCAATGTTGGATTCAAATTTGTACTAAAACAATATCTTTAAAATACTTTTCGGCTGGAAAAATAGAGCGCGCTACGTTATTGAATAGAACATGTTACATCTTCAAAGCCATTATTGAGTAGTGTTACACCTTAATCTTTTATTTTTCAGATTTTTAAATACGCCTGATTATTAAATGCAGATCATATTAATTTTTTTATAAGCTATTTACTAAAATCCCTCATTTTTATTAACATTTTCAAGCCAGTGATACACTTTATATGTAAAAGTACAAAGTAAAGCTTGTTCTAGTGGTTCTCGACTTTTTAATTTTGCTACAAAATCAATTTCTACGCATGTTTTAAGCAAATATACTTTTATTATAAATCAAATATACACAGCGACATAAAGCGCCATCTAGGAATACATGCTAGCGTTTCAGTGAGTTTACTCCTTTACTGGCTTAACAAGTTTTAGTTAAATATTTTAATTAAAGAAGCTTTTTTTCGCTTTATATTTTTTTTCTCTTCTGCCAAAAAAGCATTATTAACCAATAGATACAAATCATGCAAGTTTTATTTGTAACAATAAAACCAAGCAGAAACTGGTTTATGTTGAAAGTTTTTACAATCTTGCCATATGGTTTAATAAGAGTTATAGTCTTTATTATCAAATAGCGAATAGAATATTTCTTTGCCAATGAGTTTTTTTTCCCACGTTAACAAGAAAAAACGTTGTGTATGACGTATTTTATTTGTTTGTTTGTTTGAAGTTAAGCACAAACCTACACATTGGGCTACCTGTGCTCTGCCCACCACGGGTATCAAAACCCGGATTCTAGCGTTGTAAGTCCGCAGACATACCGCTGTGCTACTGAGGGGCGATTTTATTTGTTTATTTCAAAACAAACTATATTTCATTCATTACGTAATTGTATTTTTGAGAAGCACGTCCCATACGGGTGTAATGAATAAATTAATGCTGTGGAGGGAATCTACATCAACTTTGAATTAAACTCATGATTTTGATTTAAGTGGGCACATACTTTACTCTATTCTGATAATGCTATGACAACCAATAATTAAATATTTACTTTAGTTAAAGAGCAAATCTTCTTTTTTATTCCTTTTAGCATTTGTTTAATTCACTGTAAGAATTCTAGAATTAATCATCTAACTGAACTGAAAAATATTTAATGCTCACTAAAGTGATAAATTTAGTAAAACATCGAAAAATCATAAATGAGTTTCATTTATTCAACTTTTGCCCGATTTATATTACAGCTTAAATGGCTCCTGTCAAATGTTATTAATAATTTTATATCAACAGATAAATTATGTGGACATTATACTCACTGTGATTAGGTCCAGATAATGTGCTTTAGACGATTTCTTCATGCTGTTTTAACTACGTACTAAGCTTATCTATCTTTACTTACATTAAACGTAAAATTGATTTTATATAAATCAAAGTTTACAAGTTCTCTGTCGTATTTTAATCGGTTTTAATCTTGAAAATCATCCATAAGTTGTTTTCTACGTACGTTTGGTTTCAAAATGATTAATTCTTGATAAGGTTTCCACGCTATTCTCCCTCCTCACTCAATGCAATTCAATTTAAATGCACCAAAAATGGCATGAGTTCGCCCATCAAAGGATGCATGACTTTCGTCTAAAAATAAAACTTCACCAAATTTTTCCAGGGTTCGCATCTGACTTTTAGTTTTCGAAATCTATTTCTTTCTAAATGAGAATTTATTTGATGCATGAAAAATGAAACAAATGGAGAGTCAAAAGAAAAGCTCATTACACTGTTCTTTTATTCAATTACTCCTGAGAAACATGCATGACTCATGATCTTCGTTTTTTTGAAAGTCAATTATTTTGGAATCGTAAGTAGGACGTACGTTGAATGTTTGTAACAAAGATATTTAATTTGTATTATTCCTATATCGTATGATATACAAGGTAGTGTGTTTTTGTTGTTATTGTTTTTGCTTCTCACGTCAGTGGCTGTTTTATAGAAAATCTAATTCTATACATTAACTCCCAAGTGAAATATGTAACACAAACTTTTTTTAGAGTATGTTATAAGATTATAGAAGTCCAGACTGTTATTTTTGTTTTATATTCAGCTCATTTACTATAACTATAAAGTTGCTAATACAGAAACAAAATAATATAATGGAGCGTTCAGACTGATGCTCTACTTTTTAAGTACTTCTCGCAAATATGTCCTTTTACTCGCGAGTAGATTTGTTTGGCAATTTCATCATAGGTGGCAGCACCAAGCAGAAAGCCTGTTATTCGTGCGTGCGCAAATCTGTCACTAATAGACGTGCCCGTTCTATATACGGCAGTGACGTTTCCGTTCGAGGAACCTCGTGAGAGATAAATATTTACTAATTTTTTGAGATCAGCGATCCGAATTTTCGGTTGGTTGTGATTTTTATCGTTTACTTTTCTTAGTTATAACACTCTAGCACTGACACATTGACGTGAAAAGCCTGAAGGACTGCCATGAAGGTAGACACACACACGTACAAGGCCAAACCTTCATTATATATAACTCCTCAACGCGCAGATGCGAGAACGCCACACGAGTGAGTCAACTGAGCTGGAAGTTGCTTGAAGACTTCAACCTTGTAGGCTAGATTGGAAGACCAGCTTTCTACCGTATAACAGGCAGTGGCGGGTTTAGTACTTTTGTAAAGCGAAGAGAACTACTTTGTGTCGAATTAAGTCTTACCTGTTACTTGCAAACTTGGCGCTAAAAGGTGCAGACATGGTTGTTTGATTGAACTGCCGTCGAAGATTGCTACAAATGTGTATACAAATAGGTGCGATTGTTTTCATGTCATTATTAAGGTAAAATCGTTTTCTTTGTAAGAATCGAATTATTCAAAATTTCTGACAAAGCTACAGGACGTTCTGTGAGTGTGTATGTGCAAACGTAATTTAAGTTAGTTGGTTTCTGGGCAGCTGTAGTGAAATGGATTTTTTAAGTCTGGAGGAACTGACCTCGTCTTCCCTGATAGACAGTTTAAGTTCTTCTCCAGCGCTTTGCAGTAGCTTGAAGTTTCTAGGATTAAACAGAATGCTCACTTATATACATTTTGAACCTAGTGGAATTCATCTCGTGAAAACCACATTCCTCGTGACATTGTTTCTTTGCTTCAGTAGTGGATGCCACGCTTTGGGTGAGTATATTATACGAACTTATGAGGGAAATTAAAGAATGATATTAATAATGTGTCAACCACACAATATCTGCTTTATCCAGTCCGTACGAGGCCTTTAGTCCAATACCAGATCTCATTAGACCTGCTGGGATATGGCAGATGTAATAATGGTTTAGGCGCTAATTATTACAATAAGATGGTGATATGCATGTCATGTTAGAGATGTTTGCTCTTATTAAAATTTGTACTTGAAATGCGTTTTAATAAGTCAGAGTCAGGTAAAAGCCAACAAGTGATACATCACGTGATTTGTAGTCTATTGTAACGTCTTATTTTTCAGAAGGAACGTACTGTCTTTCCATAATTTTTTTTCATTGATTAAAACACTTGGGTATTGCTAATGCAGTTGAACGCTTTCCTTGTAGGAAAATGATAAGAATTTCCTGTTTTTGCAACGCTTTAAACACACTTACTAATTTAAGTCGTTTAAAACAGCTTCTAAACTAAATTTAATAAAGTAGTCACGTTCCATTGACGAGACTTGTACAGCGCAATATAATTTATTAATTAAAGTTTATTTAAATATTTTTCAGATACCATTGAATTATGTTTTTCTATTATTATCTTTACACTATAATTGTCTTTGTATCTGTTTATAGTTCTATGGAGTAATTCAAGTTCAGTAATACAAATGTCTGAAAGTACAAAAAGAATCAATGTAAATAAGGCCATTTTTTTATACCATATTAACGTTAACTACGAAACGTATTAAGCCTATTTGATATATCTTACGAATACTTTTGTTTTCTCACTGCATTTAGTTTTTGAAATTTTTTTAGTACACCTGAAACAATAGGTAAAGGCAGCAATTATACAGATAAATTACCTCTATATACTGATGCAGTTTCTATAATGTAGATTAGTAAAAAGAACCAGTTATCAGGATTTGTTTTTTACTGGTTATTATCGAGTAATTACACTTGTAATAATCACCCCTTATTTTAATTACAATCGTTATTAAGATGTGAAAGAAATATTATTCTAGTTTAGTATGCAAAAAAACATGAAATTTTATAAAGTTAACTTACAACAAAATTATAAAGTACAAGTATGTTTAAAAAGTTAATATACACGATTATATTTATGGTGTAATGAATCTCAGTATTATATATGTATGAGTTGTAAGCTTCTTAAAAATGTAGTCGTGCATATAGTTACAGTTTCTTTTTTGTAAAACAAGTAGTTACTGATGGTATTTTCGTATGATTATTGGTCACTCTTCATTTTCATGTGTGTGTGTTGTTGTTGTTATTTAGGTGTTTGTTAGGAGTGAATTATGGTTGTCGGAAAAGTGAATCGAATGTTTACGATTAACCGATATAATTGCTCATACACTTTGAACAAAAGATTCAAATATGGCCTTGCCCTGTGTTGACTGGTTTTTCTATTTAAATCTATCATACTTGTCTGAGAAACTGTTTTAAGTTGGGCTAACTTAATCCACTATTTACTGGAGATAGTCTTCGGTGGTAAAGCGGTAATTGTAAGTATTTAGAGCACTAAAATCCGGGGTTCGATTTCCCAACTGACAGAGTACAAAGAACCCATTACTGGAGATATATTTTGTAAGAATGAAATTTGATAAAAACTAATGTGAACTTAGCTAAGTCGTTAACAAGAAATATTTGCTTCGTCATTATTTTATTGTATTTTCTGTTTCACGTTCACTGTGTTAGTAATATGTTTAGAGTTCGAGTCGCTGAGCTGATACTTGTTAATAACGGGACAATTATATTACATCGAAAGATAATCTCCTTTTTGCATTTAAAATTATTGAACAATTAATGTTTTTTTTTTATTTTTTTAAAGAAACAATGAAATTTAATTTTTCTACGTTCTACACTCTGTAATCCTACACCAGGAAATTTCCATGTATCTCGGGATATAATGTGGATACCATAATTTGCTTATGAAGGGAGATGAGTTCATTGGAAACCTAAACCTAATTATAGAAATTTAAGTCACAAATGAACGATTTTGTTTCTTGCTCGTTAGAGATGCGGCCGAAATGTTCTCATTTGTAGGAAATAGGTGTATTCGTTTATTGAATGATTTCCAACGAGTGTCTGTCTATTCGAGCAATTAAAGAAACAGAACATTTCAGGGCTTTGTTTTCTATACCGTAACATAGCAATCAAATAGAAAATCACAACCTCAACCCAGGAGCAAGTGAAATTAAACGAGATTGAGTCTTAGTTTATTTCTAAAAATATTTCTTAGAAAATAATAATAATAAAAAAAAACATCCAATAACAATAACTACTAACTTGAGAGACTGGAATAGCGTACTCCTCAACTGTTAGTTGTAATTTATGAACGAATGAATATTAAAGGAAACGAGAAACTTGTTCCTGTTAAATACTTCATTTTAATATTTCAAGAAATATGGTTGCCTAGCACATAAATTCTTACGAAGAATCAATGCAGAAGGTTTTTGACTAATAATGTTGGCGTCTTTTTGACTAATAATGTTGGAATCTGGCTAATTTGAATAAATGAACAATTAATATCCATGATTTATGTACTGTTAATGCATATGACGTGTTGGTGCGCCTAATATCAAGATGTCTTTCTTGCGTTCGTTTGTAGTTAAGCGCAAAGCTACACAATGGGTTATCTGTGCTGTGCCAACCACCGGTATCAAAACCCGGTGTGTAGCATTATAAGTCCCCAGACTTAACGCTGAGCCACCGATGGGCATGTCTTTAAGTAGCATACAAACTGGAAAAAAAGAGCATTCTACGTTCACGTCTCTTTCAAAGCTTGAATATCTTCTTAATATATATATTCATAGGAAAATTTCCGGAGGAATATTCGGTGTTGTAGTATTTCCTAAGTAATACGGAAAACCTTGGCACAATGTGAAATTGTTGTTTAACCAGTTTTGATACCTGCTGAATAAAAAACGTTAGAAACATCATACATATGTATGTATGACGTATGTACATGTGCATACAAGTTCTTTTAGTGTATGATTAGATAAATTAGATAGAATACTTTATATAACCATGTTTTAGTCTCATTCGGGATATTGTATTGATAGGTTTTAGTTTATCGATATATGAAAAAGGATATAAAAACAATAGTTTGACAACCAAATAAAATATATACGTCATAGTTTACTGTCGTAAATTACATTAGAAGGCTAAGTTACAACAGATGCTGTGGAGAATTATTGTGTATTTTATTTTGTTTTCAGTTGACAAGAAACCTCAAAAGTTTTGAAGAATATCCAGTTTAGAACACTTCTTAAATAAAGCTGTCTTATAGAAATAAAATTCGTTTCAGTATACATTATATTTTTATATCACTGTCATTAAGATTCTCGCGATCGATTGGCCATTTTGTGAATCTTATTTCTTTGCTGAAAGACAATTTTTCTTGTCTAAAGGAGGGTGTGTGTGTGTGTGTGTGTGTACTAGAATAAGGAAGGAATTAGTACAAATTACCCAACTGTGGTGCACATTATTAAGGCAAATGTGCTTTATAATTTTGTTCCTCAGGTATACCATGGTTGCTTCGAATATCTTTACTTAGGCCTTCTGATCTTATTCGGCATATTCACCTCACAGTTATTCAGAACTCTACGGTTTTTTATCATACGTCTTTTAGTTGTTGTTTTTAAGTTGACATTTATGAGAATATTTCTAACAGAATTAGCTTAGATTACTTGAAGAAGTAACTGGTAGACAAGGAGATTGATCTTTATCTCTTGAGTCTGTTTCATTCCAGTCAGATTTGAGAAAAAGTATATGCTAAAAAAAACATAAATGATTTACAGAACTGTACTACACTAGATTAACTATACGAGGGTTGTAGACAAATCTGTTAATTTAGGGGCTGAAACATAAAACCTCTGGTTACCTAGAGCAATGGTTCCCAAACTATTTTAGTCTGAGCCTCCGTTGATGTGAATAAAAAGTTTGAGACCCCCAACATATAACTTTAGCATGATGATTGAAAAACGGTGTCATAGTAAAAACAGTATCTCTTTTCGACATACTGTATTAATTAATTAATTCAACTTAATTCTTATCTAGAGCACTTTTGGAAAATAATGTGTGAACAGACTGTGAAAAACTGTTAATCGCTGTATGTTTTCGTCTTAAATTACTTCGAACTTGTAAAGTTTTTTCTTTCTTTCTTTGAACCTTTTGAAGATATACTCACGTCTATGACCGATAAAATACTATCAGAAAAATAACAGTTTACTGGAAACCCCTAATGCTTACGTCCATGTAAATAGCATATTGAGAATGTTCACAGTTATCGCAAGTGTACTTCTGAACAGTCAGATGAAACTTGGACTGCGTACATGTATAATGCTATTTTCTGTTGCTTCTGTTGGCTCCGCTGAAATTCTGTGTCTTTGTGACGCTAAAGGCTAAAAATCGGGTTTCGATACTTGCTGTGAACAGAACACAGTCAGCCCAATGTTTAGCTTTGTGCCTAACAGAAAAAACAAACAAATTATCCATGTTTGTTTTGTTTGTTTACAAATATTCGCGCAAAGCTACTCAAAAATTATCTGCGCTAGCCGTTCCTAATTTTAACTTAATAGATTAGAAGAATGACAACTAGTCAAAAGCACCCACCGCCAACTTTTGGGCTATTCAACTCTGATCGAACTATAAGATTTTTACCGTCAGTTTTATGACGCACCCAAGGCTCCAAGGTAGGGGGCGTGATTTTTTTTTGCTAGTTGAGCTTTTACATCCACAGCCCAACATGCTAACTACTAGTCCCTGATCCTTTGTTTTTAAGGCCGGCATGACCAGGTGGTTAGGGTGCTTGACTAGCAATCTGAAGGTCGCGGGTTCGAATCCCCGTCCCACCAAACATGCTCGCCCTTTCAGTCGTGGGGGCGTTATAAGTGACGATCAATCCCATTATTCGTTGGTATAAGAGTAGCCCAAGAGTTGGCGGTGGGTGGTGATGAGTAGCAGAATTCCCTCTAG